AGCCATCATACAATCTATTAAATAGAATGTTGTGACATTGAAATAAATCTTTGTGACGCCATTTAGTCTGATGACTACATAATGTAATCTCTTTGGATATATCAGATGCGTAGCCAGGAATTTGAATAGGGGGGAACAATTTTTTTTGGGGGGGGGGGGGGGGGGATTTTTTCGAGTTTTTCATAAAAACTCTAGCAAAATACTTACTTCTCAAGACGAAGGGGGATTTGTCCTCCAAGTGGCTACGCGCCTGGGATATATGCAAGTTTTAACAGAAATGTATAATAAGAAATCACATTTTTATTTTTATTTTTATATGCTCTGCATGTCTCATAACTTATGAACATTTCGCTGATGCCAATCCTTACGGATTATCTGAATGTGAATATTGCTGCAGTTTAAAAACAGCCCCAAAATGTGTCTGGTACTGTTGCATCCTTAATAATCAGAATAAAAATCTGAAAGTTCCTCATTTCAAAGCCATAACAAACATTTTCATATTTTATCAGTCAGATTCAATCTCTTGAATGCTCTTGTCATTCAAAATAAATATGATTCATATAATATGTGAACATGTATCATATTAGAGATGTATAAGTGTGTCTGTAAATTTATTGAGGCAATATAACATCAGTAACTGACAACACAGGATATAAAAACGAGGGAAGATAATCAATACTTGGTACAGCTTTAGATTTTTTCATTCAAAATATCAAAAGATGATGAATCGCACATGGCAATTAAAGTTTTGATCCTCAAGTCATATGTGTAGTATAGAAGAAGCTCCACACATAATCGGATTACGACTAATGTAAGGTCAGAGCTAGGAGTTGTAGAAGTAAGTGGATAATATAACAAAGTAACAAAGAGGTTCGTCGTTAATATTCGTCGAGAATATATTTTTGACAATGTGGAAAGTTCCCAACAATTTACTATAAACGTATGAAGAAATAGAAATGAAATAAAACAAACCAGCATAAAATATTACATTTGCTACAAGAGCAGGTAAATTTTGATAAGGGAGGAAGGCAAGAGAAAAAGGGAAAAAAAAACTCAAAGAGACAAATGAACCCGCACCGACACACAAAAGGAGTATGTATAGGAAAAATCAATAAAATGAAGCTAAAAACAGAATGTCAGTCAACAATGAAACATCAGTAACAAAAAAAAAAAAGGCAAAACAAGAATGGGGGGAAATTTTGAGATAGACGAAAAAGGAAAATGTCAGGAAAAGTCATGCCACAGTTGGTTGACTTGACTTCTCTCTTCCGAAAATGTATCAAAAGTTCATGACATTTGATAGTATTTGTAGATGATGTGAATCTGCTTTTTTGATTTGTTAATATCGAAATTAATTAATGAATTCACGTTCGGAAAATTGCCTGCTACATATCATGATGCTGTAAACCACACAAAGTTAATCCCGCCATCATAACGCTGTATGAATATAGAAAAGGGGAAAATTATTGGGAACGTTGCCATTTTATGCCAAAATTTATTTCATTCATTAACATAAAAGCTTATTGCTGATTTTGACGCTTATCAGTGAACCTTACTCATTATTTTTAAATAATTACCATAAAAGCAAAGCAGAAAATTTTATTACATGATATAAGCATCCTCTAATTATGAAATTAGGTTTTTTTTCTGAGAACGGGTAATGGATCAATGACGGGATTAGCTTAACTTAAACTTTTTCAAGATTTATAGTTTATCTGATGCAGTGACGTAGCTAGAACTTCAAGAGATGCGAGTGAGAAAAAGTTTTGTCCACTTTTGAATAATATATTATATAATATTTTAGTCAGAAGAAGGTGACATCCTGGCACTTGGATACACTACTGATAGCTAGTGACTATGTTGAATTAAATATGTATTAAACTGTTTAAAACTTTCACCAGAAAAATAATACAAAACTTTAAAAATACAACTGAAATCAATTAGAGCCCAAAGGGAATAAAGAAACTTTTTTATACAGCATGCAGTTGCAGTTAATTCAACATGTGAATTGTATGTCATGCGAATATAATCATAATTAGAGCACACAATGAATAATCATGTAACATCTGCATTACAGAGAACTGAGTTTCTATCAAGGTATTTCCACTTATTAAGCATAAATACTACAGAGGAAGGAACACATTAAGCACATAGAGCTTATACTAATACTGAATAATATACACATATCAGATGGAGAAAAAAATTACGAATAAAAAGCAGAAAGGAAAATGAAAAGAATGAAAAAAATTATTAAAGCTGAGAGATTTCATTGCGAGAGCTTGAGGATTAAAACTTTCATAATTCTTCCTTTATTTTTTATGCATCGTGTATCAAGAGTAATAAAGTATGTCTGGGTGGAAATTTGAGATAGTTTTTAATTATATTCTCTTTCAAGGCAATTGAAAAACTTGTAATTAATCTTGAAGATTTCAATTATTTTTGGGAGTTGTTCATATATTAGGTTTGTCGCTCAAGAACCTGGTGTTGCAATTAGACCTGTATGACACTTTAAAACATATATTTTTTCAAAAAAATCTTTCGAATTTTGCTCTCTGAATTTGATAATTTTTGTTTTTTCTTCTTAAAGCATCTTGGATATTTGCATTTTAGCTGGCGTAGCACATTCGATTCATCTGTTGATTCTGCGATGATGAGGAAAAAATTTAAAAGTTTTCATCCTTAAAAGCTAGCACGTTTAAACATTTGAAATTTTCACTTTAAAAAGAAAGGTTTAATTTTTCTGGATCTTTAGCTTATTATGTCAAAATGTATATGTGAACTTTGAAATCTTCAAAAATTTGATGGACGTCACTCACAAACTTTCTTGAAATTTAATTTAATTGCAAATCTCTTTTTCAAACCTTTCAACAATGGAAAAACCAAAACCACAGCAGACGAAACTTTAAATGGATGAACCAAAAACAGCGTCAATCAGAGCCAAGATATGAGATCACTGTCTCATGGACATAAAAATGCAATTTAAAGAGAAATTTACCACAAAATGAGCCATCAATTTATGTAAGCAATATCTTATGTACTTTCATGTCAAACATTTTGACACCAAAAAGAGGAAGTGGAAATGAGCAAAAAAATAAAAAGGACGTGAAACGACAGAAAAGTTAAGAAATTGTTATTGTTTGCCAAGGTTTAAAGCGATGTTTTAATGGAGGGTTATTTCAAGGGTTGTTCATTGACCTTGAAAGCTTTAATGAGATCCAGTTCATTATAAAATTTCTAAAATATTTAAAAAGACCGACAAAATACAGTAACATGCAGCATCTCTTAACAGTTGCATGATAAAATACTCATTATTTATCACGCCCTCAAATAGATGTCTGTATGCTAGCTCGTACAAAAGAAAGGAAGAAGAGATAGCGGTTTGTAAAAATGAGACATTTTATTTAACATATTTATGAGACATGAGAAAAAAAGAATATCCTTAATATTTCACATTTCTCACGAATTTCATATTCAATGAAAAAAAGTTTCATATCATGAGTTTAATTTTAGCATGAGGAGCCCAAATAATTCTGTCTGTACAATTATTATATGATTGTTCCATCGCTTTATGATAATTTTAAGTGTTCATAACAGATGCTGAATTGTTATATTTTTTCATGAATGAAATGGATATTTATTATTTCAAAGAAAGAAAGAAAATCATCATTCTTTCGTTGATGCCGACTAAAGTTTCATAAGCATGAAGCAGATATCGATTGAACTGTAAATCAAATATAACAAAATTGTGTTCCGATTTCATGCCATGGAGAGTATAGATAGATTTCAAAATAAACACATCAAGTAAATCTGATTTACACTGATGTGTTTTCGCAGCTGCTTTAACGGAAGTGATTACTTTAATAAATTTTCCATATAATTTACTTTCTATTTGTTTTTCAAATGTGATGATTTTTTGATTCGAGGGAAATTAGTTTACCTAACAGAAGTAGCAGATATTGATGATATAGCGGTATTGAAAAATAAACTTGGAAATTGAATTATATAAGTGGAACGTCATTCGGATCTGGATGTTGATTTTCTTTAAGAATCTAATTAATTGCTAGTGAGAAATTTAAGATTCGCTACTTGTTGATTGTTTCTTGTAAAAACAAGCATTTAAAACTTGAATAACATTTGTTGCAGCATAGCTGTTCGCCCCTTCACAAACACCAAATTTAAACCATAAACAAAAACTTTCATTTAATTTAAACAAATTAGTAATTTGACTAATTATTGATCTTACAATAACAAAACTTCCCGTCAAAAAAGAATGAAATTTGACTTAAGGATTTTTTTAATCTACAGAAATAACACGAATCTTAATGATTCTTGAATGACTTTAGATTTTATTAAAAGATTAACAATTTTTCTGAATGAATCGTCCATTTTCCATGAATCTGAGTCAATTTTCTTCTTAATTGCGTGATTTCAAAGCAACATCGTCAGCATTTCGTGAAAGATGATTAAACTTAAAAAGGTTGATTGACCTGATGCAAAAAGAAAATTCACTTCAATGAACTGTCTCTGACTATCTTTGAATAAATAAAGCAATGATTGATGACGTTATTTTGTAGTATAAAAAAAGTTTATTTGCGTAACAAAAACGCCAATGATTGAACATATATACTTCATCACTTTCTTTTTCGACACTTGTGTGCTGATTTCCAATTGATTCTGAGAAAATCGAGTGAAGAGGAAATATTAATTTTGAATTTTGAAGTTGATTTATTTCTCTCTATCAAATAGTTTACAATTAATCACAAATTCTGCTGTTCTTTGAGGGATCGTTCACTTATGATGTCCGAAATTAACGGTCATTTTTCGGTCAAAAAGAAAAATGGATTTCCAGGAATTTCTATTGTTCTTTTATTGCTGAAACCCCCCCCCCCCCCCCTGGAAGTCATAAATGAACGGCCCATGATCAATCCATTTATTTTCATACATCCACTTGATCGTGATCTGAATTTATTTCTATTTCAGATAATGTTGGTTCTTTAGCAATGGGAAAAACTGCGCGACGGTCAGTAGATGAATCGCCGTCGTCGCCATCGAGCTCATCATATCTATTTAATCAGCAGCATCAGCAACAATCACAAACAACTATAGCAGGTCAATCGTTGAGGACTTATTTTATAAAGAATAATTTGCATACAACGTCGTCATACGGCGAGTCACTGAGGTAATTGATGTAATATTGCGTGATAAAAAAAAGGTGGATATGCTTCAATGTTTAATTTAAATCTATTAAACAAGACGAAAACCTTGAAAAGAAAGAATTTAAATACTTGCACTGATAAAAGTGAACATTTTCAAGCCAGAATGAGAAGAAAAAATTGATGTAAATATTTACATTTATATTCTGTGTAGTTAAAAGTTTTTTCTCCGAATTCTTTCTTCCTTCACCTTTTTTTTTATTTTATTAAAATTCAAAAAGAGAAGAAAAAAAAATCAACTTCTACATAAACTATTTTAAAACAAAAATTTCCTCTCGATTAGACACGTTTGTATTAAAAATCAATTTTTTTTTTGTATATTTTTACAGTCAAATTAAAAATGTTGAAAACAGATCAGTATCGACCGCTGCACCTACATCACTTAATAGTACAACATCATATACAAAAACATCGAATACAGCGTCACAATCAGAGAAAATTCTCGCAACTCAGAAACCTTCAACAACAACTTATAAAGCTTTTACGACAACCTATAAGTCAACTACGTCAACGCGTGTTTATAGCTACCATAATGGACGAAATGAGACGAGAGAGGCGATGCGTGCTGAGTTCTTTGCAACTTATGATGTTATGACTGGAGTAAGAATTGCCGCCACACTTGGTGGATTCTTCTTATTTATGGTATTTTTAATCGTATATAAGAGTCGTAGTCATTCTGTTAAAGCTTTACAGGTAAGTAGTACCCAATAAATTTCTTGTAATAAACCACAGCTTGACCCAAATTTTTCTATAAATATTTTTAAGGATCCCCAAATATGTGCACGTGCAGCTGCAGCAGTACAAGAAGAAGAGGACCGTGAAATGCAAGAAGCATTTGAGAAAACGGCATTTTCCTTATATCAAGACGAGCTTGAACTTCCTCCAATGCCTATTAACTTTGGTCTCAATCGAGATCGCATAGCTTCAGTAGGAAATGTTAGTTGTCCACCATATTTAATCAATCCTAATCTTAGATTTTCCTCAATCGGTGGTTATAGTACACTTTTAGAGCCACCGCGACGTTATTCCGATATGGGACGCAATCGTCGTCAAAGTAGTACAGAATCATCTAGGATACTTAGTGCCTATCATTTAAACGATAATTATAGTAATCAAAATGAAAACTTCTTTAACGAAAGCGATTGTGAGGAGGCGGACGATGAGTTTGATCAGAGATTTACAACTACAGCTGAAATAGCATCATATCCACATGGTTTATTATCTGTGCCAAGAGTAAGATTCATCATATTCCTTAACTTATTTTTTTCTATTGTGACTAATTTGTATGAATTCTTTAAGGGTATCGACTCACGACGTAGTAGTGGAATGACATGTTGCAGTACTGAAAGTTCATTCTTGGAGCGGAGATTTTCAGCAATAACATTAGGTTTAAGTTCATTGCCACCCGTATCACGTAATTCATCACGACGACCAAGTCGTGAAACATCGTGGGATTATGATTATCATACGGCTTTAGCATATCCAGGCATACACATCATAGAAGCAACTCCAAAATCGTCACCTTGTCCAAGCGAACGTCAATCGCATTTAAGTGGCGGTTCTGTAAAGGATCATATAAAAGTACTCGATCGTTTTAAGCGACGAAGACATGAAGATAATTCAATAGATTCAATAAGTGAATATCCTGATGAGATAAGTAATAACAATCATCAGCAGACACAACAAATATATCATGGTAGCGATAGTAGACAATTGTCTGATAATGTTGTTAATTTAAATAGCAATATACACCAAAGTAAAACGTCGATGTCTAGTAATAGTAAAATAGAAGACAACGATGACACATGTCATCAAAATAATAAAGTAAATACAGTAGCTGCGACTGTAGTTCCTACAGATCCAATTCGAAGGGCACCGTTAGCATCGTTGAGTTCATTTAAAATGTCATCAATCGAATGTGCTGACTCTGCAAATGGATCTGTTTTTGATGAAAGTTGTGCCGATACGGATGATGATCTTGAACAGTTTAGCACCGATAGTGATGAGATAAGTCTGCAAAGTCCTCCATCAACAGATCAACATATTCCTAGTGGCAGTAGTACAATAAAATGTGATAACTCTGTTATAATGAAAAATAGCGAGATAGCAGGTACCTTATTGCCCTGCAATCATCCGCAAAATAAGTACGAAACGATTAGAAGTTCATCATCATGTGAAATCGAAAGACAGCAGCGATCAAATGACAAATTATCGACGATACGACCCATTATTAGTTATGATAAAATTAAAATTAATGAGAATATTAAAAATAATAATAATATTAAAATTAATAATAGTAGAAATATCAATAAGAAATCAAGTAGTACCGAATGTGTTGCAATTAACGTTGTAGATTATAAAAATGAAAGTTCTTTTATAAAATCATCCGCCCCTAGATCTTCTTCTGCTGTGATTCTTGAAATGCCCATTTTGGTGACGCAAGATGACGACAAACAAGCACCACAACAAATGGAAATTCAACAGCCACATCTTTTCGAAACAGATGATATTGTGGCGACATTTGATCCATCATTGCCAGGTCCCTCGTCTCGAAAATGGTCTAAAGAAACACTTTTCTGAGAATTTTTTTTACATTATGTATATTATTAAAAATGATTGAACATTCCGTGTTTGGAACAAATCTTTATCATTCTTATTTATTATTCTTTATTTTATGTACTTTTCTCGGATGAGATGTTGCTGGAAAGTGAAATGTTTGAGATCCTGTGTTGGTTACTTGGTAGATGAATTCAATCCATTATTACTAAGTTTATTGGTTCTAAGTTAAGATCTAGCTCTTGATTATAGTTCAGGACAAGTATTAGTTGTTGTGTCCAAGCTTTATGCCTTAACAAACTACAAGGGATACTAATTAAGAGTAATTAGAAATTGAACTATACTTACAATCAAGTGAGAGTCACTTTAAAAAAATCAGGTCGCTTTCTACACCAAACATGGTTAATCTGAAGTTCAGTATCCCGATTAGAAATAGAAATCGACCCCAAATGACCTACACTTGATTGTAAACATATCACATCACGTCAATAATGTGGCAGCATTTGAACTTTGTGCCAATCTGGTTAAACTAAACACAGAATGTCATTAAAACTTCATTTTCCAGTAATTTTGCTTTAGGGCTGTTCACTTATTACGTAACGCGAAAAAATGACTTCTTAGACCCCCCCCCCCCCCCCCCCCGTAACAAAATTTGTACGAAAAAAAAATTTCCTTGTTTGAATCGTAACAAAATCTTAGACCCCCCCTCCCCCTAAAAGCGTTACGTAATAAGTGAATGGCCCCTTTCGAGTCCTATCAAAATTATTAATAATTTCAAAGTAAGGAACGAAATAGCATTCTATCATTTCCATATCATTTAAAAATCACAAAAGATGTTTAAAAATGTAAGAAAATATCCAATACATAGAAAAATGAAGAAGAAGCAGCTTTATTATGATTGAATAAAAATAAATTCTAATGTTATTTTTGCTTGATAATACAGAGAGAAAGAATCAGTACATGGAACCGAAGTTATATTTGTATTTATTACTATATATTGTGAAAATTTTAGTGAGAAAAAGAATAAACAGAGATAATTTTAAGTTTGAAAAGATGAAGATGAAAACATTATGAATTAAAGCAAATGGTGAGCTTTTTCTATGAATATTTGTATGTCTTCTGAGAAGAAAATGTCTAATGCGACTGCATGCTTATTAAATTGTTATTTCTATCAACTCGTTTATGACAACTCTACAATTGATGATCATCAAGATATTTTGTTTAAACGAGTTGAATTTGAAATATTAACGTAGATTCTTATGGATAAATGGATATGCAATTGAAGATTGTCTACTTATGACGTCTGGAAGTGATAAAGTTTGAAAGTAAGATAGCAGACATAAGTAAACGACCCCGGCTCATCCATTTAAATTTCTGAAGCTTTTTAGATAATTTGAATGTTTTGTGCTAGAATTAAGAGCTTGAAGTCAACAAAATATTTGAAGTTTACTCGATTTGACTTTGAACTATTCATCAAATGTTGGTTTTGGATGAACGATTTGTGGATTACCGAAATTCTAGCACAGAACATTCTTGATGTTAATGCTTTAAAATCTGCAGATTTATTATTTAAATGCACTTAAATTAAATTTTAAAAATGCACAACATTTTGTAGCCGATTGTCAATGATTAAAGACAAGCTTTTTTGATATGAAAAAAAAAAATGTTAAAATTTTTGTTTCCAAAAAGATAAGTCGATTGCTTCTTTGTTCTGATAATTAAGAAACTTTTCCACATCAACATGATGAAATATATAGCAGATTTGACATTCAAAGTTAATGTTTGCAAATTGAAAAAAATTTTGATGAATAATATAAAACCACAGTCACACACACAGAATTATAGAATCAGATTTAGCAATTAAAATAGTTTAAAGAAATTGTTAACAAATTTAATTAAGCGTAAAATAAAATTACAAGTTTTTGCCAAAGAGGAAAAAAACACCATTAAGAAAATGTTTAGAATACAGCAGAGTAAGTAGCAAACCTTAATGAATTTCTGGGAATTGAAGAATGCAGAAAGATGTCGTATGAAAGTTCTAGTTTCAAACAACGCACATACCATACAATTTATAAACTTTTCATCAATCAAAAACTTTTATACCTTAAAAAAATACAAAAAACTTCTTCCTACCGACCTGTCTTGAACTTTTCTTCATTCTGTAATATTTTTCAAATCGTAAATGACGAGAAATACTACTTCCTACATGAACATTAAATGCCTTCTTATACTTCAATAGTTATTAAAAACTAGATGACCAATGAAATTAGATGAAACTTATTAGAAACAAAAACTTAAAAAAATTAGAATCGATTTTCAAAGACAATTTTATCAAATTGAGGTAGATGAAACTTTTTGAGACATTCTGGTCCATGCCTACACAGGATAATTATGTCTTTTTGATATTTTTGATTATATAGTTCATAATTAGTCATGATTACTGTTGATCAAATGGTGTAAACCTAACCCAGTTGTTAACCTAGCGATCTAGTGACACAAAAATCCAGTAAACATGACTGATTTATGAACCATATTGGACACGAAAATTTCTATTGCGAATTTTTAAAAGAAAAGCTTTATTGGAGCTTAATGCTCAACTTGTAAAACCTTTTAAAAATCATTGGAAAAATCTTAATTCAACAAAGTATTTTTTTTTGTAAAAAAAAAATATTACTTGAGCACATTTCTCGTCCTTCTTGGAAAATTTATAAATAATAAATAAAAATCATTGGTAAATGTGGCCAAAAATTGTTTTCATAATCATCAGGGTACACTTTCAATAGATATCATTATGACATAAAGCAACATAAAGTAAAAAAATTTAAAAAAGATATTTTCATTGTTAGTGAAAAATATGTAAGTAATGAAAGGATAATCCATTAATTATTTAAAATAATGATCCAGAAACAAAAGATTGTTTTAGAAGGATAAAAACTTTTTTTATTTGTAAAACTGCTGTTTGTTTGTCTATAAAAACTTAGAAAATGAAAAAAATTATAGTTTGTACAAATCAAAGAGAAATAAAATGAAAAATTTAAAAATGATATTTAATTATCGTGTTTTTGTCATTACATTTCAGAATTAATCAAACACGTGGCTAAGAACAAACACGTGGTTTCGCGTGAATTCAAAAGATAACGGTTATTTGAAATTTTAAAAAAATGTTTATCTGCTCAGAAAATTCAAATTTCAATCATCAGTTATTTTTCAAATATTTTAAAACAGTTAATTTGAACCGATTCACAAAATCAATTAATTTCATTACTATAATATTCAATCACCAAATGATTCAAAATAATCAAGAAGAGATTGGAAATTACATCCCCTGCAATAGCCCTTGTAGAAAACTTAGTAAATAATAAAGATTGAGTGAAGAAAAATAAAAAATTGAAGTTTTAAAATAATAGGAAATTATACACTATTTAATAAAACATAAGTCGTTAAGTAATCAATAAGGACATATTGTGCCCGAAGTGAATGTTAGTCAATTGCGCCTGACTGTAAAAAAGCGCAGAAAATTCAAAGGATATAAATCTTATCTATGTTAGAGAGAAATATTAAATATTATTAATGAATTTAAGTTTATTTGCCTGCGTATTATTACTACTTATAAGCCTTTCAAATGGCTTCTACGTTCCTGGAATTGCACCACGAGAATTCACGAAAGGAAGTAGGATAGGTGAGTTTTTTTGCTGATGTTGGCAATAAAATCCTAATTTTATCAACTTTAAAATTTTCTTTATTTGTCTTGTAGAAGTGAAAGCAGTCAAAATGACATCATCTCGTACACAACTTCCATATGAATATTATTCACTACAGGTAATAGCTTCATTAACATTATTGACCAAACATCCAGTAAATTATTTTTTTCTTTTTTTTTGATACATCAGTTCTGTCTACCAAAGAATGGAACATTACATTACAAGTCAGAAAATCTCGGTGAAGTATTACGAGGTGAGTTATAGCTACTCTATAAATAATATATATCATACTGTAATTAAAATTTTTAATTATAGGTGATAGAATTGTCAATACGCCTTACGAATTGAGAATGTCCGAGGATGTAAACTGTAAATTGCTATGTAATACGAAAGATAAGCCAATTACTTGGGACACGCAGCAATCCAGAAAGGTTGCTGAGCGAATTGAGCATGAATATTTCGTGCATTTAATTGTCGACAATCTTCCAGTTGCAACGAGAATTAGAAATCCTGACACAATGGATGTTCAATATGAGCATGGCTATCGACTTGGAATGGTTAATAGTAAAACTGGCGATTCATACATTAATAATCATTTGAGATTTGTGCTTTCCTATCACACACATAGCGAGTACGTATTGATAACACTTCATTTATAATCAGTGCTTATTCCTATATTTATAACTATTTAGAGGTCAATACCGTGTCGTGGGCTTTGAGGTCGAAACTCTTTCGGTTGATCAGAATGACATCAAGTTTGAAGGAGAAGAGTGCAATTTTCCAGACAATCCAAAGCCACAGAAAGTGAATAAAACTGGACATACATCACTGTTCTTCACTTATTCAGTCGTTTGGAAGGAATCACAAGTGAAATGGGCTTCAAGATGGGATTACTTGCTAGGAATGAACGACGTCCAGATTCATTGGTTTAGTATTATTAACAGTCTCATCGTCGTTTTCTTCTTATCAGGTAATTGGTGTCTATTTGACTGAAATGCACAAAAATATTACGATTACATTTCGTGCTGCTCGTGTCAACTTTTAGGGACCAAAAAATATTAATAAAATAAATTTTGTCTTTGTAGGAATATTAACAATGATTATGGTAAGAACGTTAAGACGTGACATCGCTAAATATAATACGGACGATAGCTTTGAGGACACGCTTGAAGAAACAGGATGGAAATTAGTTCATGGAGACGTGTTTAGACCTCCACGTCATTTGCGACTATTTTGTGCAGTCATTGGCACAGGCATACAAATTTTCTTCATGGCTTTCATCTTAATATTTACAGCAATGTTAGGAATGTTATCACCTTCAAGTCGTGGTGCTTTAATGACAGCAGCTATAATGTTATTTGTCTTTATGGGATTAATTGCTGGATATTTCTCAGCAAGGCTATACAAGACAATGAAAGGAAAGGAATGGAAACGAACTGCATTAGTGACAGCCACGCTGTTTCCAGGAGTTGTTTTTGGAACTTGCTTCTTCCTGAATTTCTTCATTTGGGATAAGGAATCGTCAGGTGCTGTGCCATTTGGAACTATGGTTGGTCTCTTATTGCTTTGGTTCTTCATCTCATTGCCGTTAGTGTATCTTGGATATTATTTTGGATATCGAAAGCAAGGCTTTCAACATCCAGTCCGAACAAATATGATCCCACGACAAATACCAAAGCAACAATGGTACATGAATGCTGTATTGTGTACATTAATGGCTGGTATATTACCATTTGGCGCTGTCTTTATTGAATTATTTTTTATATTCAGTGCAATTTGGCAAAATCAATTTTACTACCTCTTCGGATTTCTCTTCCTTGTCTTCTGTATTCTCGTTGTGAGTTGTGGCCAATTGTCAATTGTGATGACATACTTTCAATTATGTGGTGAGAATTATCTCTGGCACTGGAGAGCATTTTTCGTGTCTGGTGGAAGTGCTGTATACATTTTATTCTACAGCATCTTTTACTTCTTCATTAAACTTGACATCACTGAATTCATTCCAACAATGCTTTATTTTGGATATACAGGCTTAATGTGTCTCACATTCTTCATACTTACTGGAACCATTGGCTTCTTTAGTGCTTATAGTTTTATTCGTAAAATATATTCAGCCGTTAAAATTGATTAAATTAACTGGATCTTATATTTTTTGTTTGTTTGTGGAATACAACGATTTATAGTTAATTTATTATTTCTCAGCTTCTATTTTAGTTCCAATAAACCAATCATTCATTAATTCATTCTCTCTTTAATCTCTCTCATTCTCACACACACTCATGAACCACTTATTCACTATCATTTGATTGACGTTAATCAAAAGTAATGAAAACAAAAATATAATTAAGTCGATTTAAAATGATGGAAAATTTATTTTAGATTAAGTAAGGATAAAGAAAATTGATCGCAAAAATAAAGAAACAGTCATGTAAAATTCTTAATGAAAATTCTTGTGCTTTAGTTTAAATGAAGCAGTTTCAGAAAATTTGTTCAAATACCGTTAAATTGAAATTCGAAATAATCAGCGAATCGGTTTATAAAACCGTTATTATTTGAATTTTGAGGGGATCCACTGTTTTAAAAATAAATCCATATCGGTTATGAATGTGATTGTTTTGCAATTAAAATTCAATCAACAAATTTACAACACAATCACAATTTTCAAAATCGTAGACCCCCCCCCCCCCCAAAAGTTTGTTTTAAAAAACTTGCCGCAAAAAATCATAATTTTTTGGAATTTTTCATTTTAATTAAGATTAAACATTAGCATAAGTGTTTAATGCATTGTAAATACATAGATGTTGATTAGGATATTGAATGGAGTAAGACATTTTAGTAGATCATTGTGTAGTTACGATAAAATGAAGTATCTTTGTGTCGCTGAGAAAAATGATGCAGCCAAGACGATATCCAGTATTTTGTCGAATGGACATTCCAATAGAGTAAGTGAATTATTTAAAGTGCTTCTATATACATTAATTCGTTATACTTTCAGAGAGAAGGATATTCGCAGTTCAACAAAATTTACGAGTTTGAAATGAATGTTCGAGGACAAAACAGCAAGATTGTCTTTACTTCCGTTTCCGGACACTTGTTGAATCGTGAATTTACAGGCATGCATCGAAAATGGCTCAGCTGTAATCCAGAAGAACTGTTTCATGCACAAATCTTGAAATATTGCCCAGAAAGGTACGAAAAGATCAAACAGACAATAGAAAGGGAAGTAAGGACATCCAATGGACTTATTATCTGGACTGATTGTGATAGAGAAGGAGAGAATATTGGATATGAGATTATAGAAGTTTGTCGAGCTATTAAACCCGGAATTCAAGTTTATAGAGCTAAATTCTCAGACATGACAGCACCATCTTTAAGACGAGCAATGACTAATCTAGCTGCTCCAGATGAACGAATCAGTCAGGCTGTAGAAGTTCGTTCTGAATTAGATCTTCGAATTGGTGCTGCTTTTACACGATTCCAAACACTTCGCCTTAAAAATTTATTTCCACAAAATATCAGTCAGGATGATTTAGTGTCTTATGGATCATGTCAAATTCCAACACTTGGATTTGTTGTTGAACGTTATAATGAGATAGAAGCATTCATTTCGTCTAATTTCTGGAAAATTAAATTAACACATCGAATGAATAACTTGACTGTTGAGTACAATTGGGCTCGAAATCGACTATTTGATAAGCAATGCTGTGAAGCGATTTTGATGTTGTGTAAAGCTGAGAATCTCGCAATAATTACGAATGTAAATCAAAAGCCAAAATCTAAATGGCGTCCCCAAGCAATGGATACAGTTGAACTCGAAAAGACAGGTTCAAGAAAGTTGAGAATCACTGCTAAGGAAATCATGACAATAGCTGAGAAGTTGTATACTCAAGGATTTATAAGCTATCCAAGAACTGAAACAAATAAATTCTCACCAGATTTAAAATTAAGACCATTAGTTGAGATGCAGACAGCACATCCAGATTGGGGAGAATTTGCAAATCGTGTACTGGAATGGGGACCAAATCCACGAAATGGAAATAAATCTGATCAAGCGCATCCTCCAATTCATCCAACAAAGTTCACAAATTCACTCGCTGGAAATGAAAAGAGAGTTTATGAGCTTATTGTGCGGCATTTCTTAGCTTGTGTCAGCCGTGATGCTGTTGGATCTGAGACAATTGTAAATGCGACGGTGGGTGACGAAGAATTTAATGCAACAGGTCTTGTAATTCTCGAAAGGAACTACCTCGATGTTTATATCTATGAGAAATGGACAGGAAGAGAAATTCACCGATATGAAATAGGAAATACTTTTGTGCCAACTGTTTTGGATCTTCATGAAGGAAAAACATCACCGCCTTCACTTTTAACCGAGGCAGATTTGATTGCTTTGATGGAAAAGCATGGAATTGGAACTGACGCAACTCATGCTGAGCATATTTCAACAATTAAAGATCGTGGATATATCGGAGAGGTGGATCGTGGGCTAGTTCCAGGTGAGTTTAATGCCTATTATATTGACGAGATTAAAATTAATCCTTGGATTTAAAATTTAATGAGTATAATTATTTCAATAATCACAGGCATTTTGGGTATGGGCTTAGTTGAAGGATACAAATTAATGAACCTGACACTTTCGCAACCGGAACTTCGAGCTGGTTTGGAAGTAGATTTAAAAGCAATTTGTGAAGGTCGAAAAAATCCAAATGACGTGCTTCAGGAACAGATTGAGATTTACAAGAACTGTTATCAAACAATAACGAGAGAAGTAGCGCATCTTGATAGAGCTGTTGGAAATAGATTTGGTGTACAGCCTGACAATAATGCACAACCTCTTCGAATCACATCCATTCATAAAATATGCAAATGTCCAAAATGTCAAACAGAATCGATTATTATAAGACGAAAGAAGGACAACACAGGTTCATTTCTTTCATGTCAAGGATATCCAACATGTAAACATGCGATTTGGCTCAAAATAAACGTCAAGGATGTGACAAGTTTAGACGAAAAATGTACAAATTGCAATAACGACAATCATAAACTTAAAATTAAATTTTCTCAGCCTTACATGCTCTCGCAAGTGGAAGAAGTGCCTGCATATTCACGAGTTGAGAATGGACACTACATAACTTGTATATACTGTGACTCAAAAGCTAGAGAAGTTCTGCAAATTAAGACAGAAGATGTTAAAGTTTTAGGTAATGTAGTCAGTGCTTCAACTCGTCCAGTAGTTCAAAGAAATCCAGTAATTAATAGTAATCCTCCTCGAAACAACAACCCAGCATTAAACAATAATCCTGTTCGTCCTCAAAGCAATAATAGAAATTTCGGTACGAATTCTAATAATTCGAATGACAATCGACGAGGTTGGCCTGACAACAGTCGTTCCTCAGGATCAAACAATAACTCAAACAATAATAATCAGCAAAGCTTTGCAAACTTATTTCCAAACTTCACAAATAACCAGAACAATAATAATAGCCAAAGTCAGAGACGAAACTGGTTCAATAATGACGGTGATGGAAGTTCGGATGACAGACGAAGAGACAAGGACAAATTGAACGCTTTACCGAACGTATTGTGTGGATGTAATGCAGCAGCACTTAAATTAATTGTTAGAAAAGACGGACCAAACAAGTCACGACCATTTTATAAATGTAATGGCGATAAATGTAAATTCTTTCAATGGGGTGATGTGCCACTTCCAACAACTGTACAAACAATGCAGGCTGGGGGATCAGGTGGAGGCAATGAGAGAGGACCAAAAAAATGTGGAATTTGTCGACAGGCAGGACATAACAGAAAGAATTGTCCAAGTATTAATCGATGAACGTTAACAGACAAATTTTAATTTTTACCGGTCACAAAAAAGGAAGCAGCAGTAATTAAGAACTGTATCATACGTATCACTATTATTGTTTTTATTATAAGATAGTAAGTATAATAAAAATGGCGTTCAAGAACATCATGATTAATTTACAAAATGAATATAAAATATAACTTTATTTAAACAACATTAAGCATTTTAATTTGTCCTTAGCTGATAATCACCATTTTGCGTAATATATCTGACCCAGGGAAGTGCCTGATAGCCGCTCTTTTCGATAATTTTAAGATATCTCACTTGAATTCCTGAGACTGTAAAGTATGGAATCTCAAATCGAACCTGAATCGGTGGCTTTCCTTCAGCATCTTCAGCTTGGACGGATGGCAATTGGAATTGAGCACGCATTAAGTATTCTTTACCACCAGCGAATGACTTGATATTCCAAATAACTGCATTTTGTTCGGGATTATATTTTACACTTCCAATCGTTGTCTTGAATTTTGGTGAATCAGCATCCATTGGAACTGGAATGATAACTTCGACATTATTGGCAGTCGAACGTCTTTTGAACTGTGATTTTGCCTTAATCATGTATTCAACACGACTATGTGCGTGTCTCTCAATGACTGACTCAATCCAAATTAAAGGCTTGATTTGATTACTGTTGCGATAGGTCATTAACTCAAACTCTGCGTCGGGCGGTATAAAGCTTATAGTCCTGTCATTTTCGAAACGAGATAAGCGAACACATTGATGGAACTTTACATCTTCTAGCTCGATAGATTTTGACTTGCCACGACCAGTGCTTTCAAATAATACTTTATCGTTAAGACCGAGACGTAACTCAGGCATTCCTGATAAGTAGACGCGCATTTTAATCGTTCCTTCAATTTCACTTCTTAAAACAGTTCCATTTTGATTTGCTAATAAATTAACACTCTCAATTACATCTAAAAATACTTCATTTTTGCGGTATTTAATTCCTTCGGATCTCCATGAAACGGCATTTGTTACAGCCATTGGAATTCGTACCTGAACTTCCAACTTATATCCTTCTTGTGTGATATATTCTTGGAGAATTTTACTATCCGTTGTTTGCGGATATCCAAAGTCAATCAATTCATCGAGAAGCTCATAAACGATGACAAAATTATCTCTGATTGATTCTTCTTCCAGTTCCTTAAAGTACTCGGTGAACACCTCAACAATCTTATGCAACATAGTGAATATAAGTGCAATGTTAGCATTTCTTTTGGTTGTTGACACAATGTATAGATTATTGGTCTTGATATAAGCGAAATTGCATTCCTGTGTCTGCAAAATTGGTCCAAGTGTGCCTTCTTCCTCTACAATGAAAGATCCAGATTAGAGATCTAGTATGGGTGTGTTAAAATCTTGTATTTCATTAATTAATCATTATTAAAGGATTTATTTGATCACAGTAGCCTTTAAAATTACGTGTTCTACCCATTTAGCATTGAGATATCCTTGTAATTATGGATTATTCAAGTTAAATTATCGATATTTACCTTTATCCATTAAAAGTGGCATAAACTTATCAATGACCTGTGAATCAAGCTCCCCTCGATAGTTCCGCGATATGAGAACCTTTCCCTTTAAATCTAATATAAATATTTGACTGAACATCTTGGATTATTAATTTTTTTAACAAATAGAAAAAGATATTTTTTTTGATGATGACAAGAAATGAGTCGGTTAGTGTGACAATGCAGCAGCTCCAATGTTCCTCTTGATTATAGCTTGTTTTAGGTAGCTGGAAGCTTGAATCGAATGACATGCAGCTGTATATACTATATTATTATGATTTGGAGCTAGTTTAAATATAGCAAACAGCATTAAAAGCTGATTTTGGATTTCCTTAATTCTCACATATAAAGCCTCAGCAAATCCAGCATAAATAACGTCTCTTATTCCTGGAAATGTTTTTCATGTTTAAATTTTCCATGACAGTTAAAGATTTAAGATGAAAATCATGACTAAATCACAGAAAAAATCAATTTACTCACCAATATCTTCTGAATATTCACCGATTTCAGCAGATGAAGGCACGTCATCTCATGATCGACGAAAAACACATAAACATTACAGTGAGACAAGTCAGAAAATTTAATAATTTTAACTTTAACTCATTTTTGACTCGATATTTTTCCTTAGAAAAACGTGCTGATGATCGAGAATATAGTCGTAAGGTCTATAAAGATGAAAGATATGGCAGAAGCAGAGAACGAGTTGATAGAAATAAACCGAGATATGACAGTGAAAAATTTGACTGTAAAGTGAAATCAAGAAGCAAAAATTGTCATTATAAGCATGACAGACATGAAAGCTCATCACGAAAAGTACATAAGAAGTCAGACAGATCTCGAGAGCGATCTAGAAAGAAATGTAAGTCTAAACATAAGAAACACGAGAAGAAGAGACGCCGTTCAACATCCAAAAGCTCGTCATCAAGCGATTCTGATGAAGAATTAAGATCCAGCAGTTTTATAAGTGAAATTTTGAAGAACAAAAAGACTAAAAATAATGAGAAAGTACTCAATGAAGTCAGAAAGACGATAAACAACGAATTAAAGGATGAAAGCATATCATATACACCGCCTTTAAAGTTAGGAATGACAAAGACTGATGATGTAAAAAGCTGTGATACTCAAATCAAGAAATTATGCGATCAAAAACAGCCTGACATTAAAAAGCCTATTAATTTGTTAACAAATTTGGATGTAAATGGCAATATTTCTGCGATATCAGTAAGTAAAAATGAACCAAAGTCGAATGACGTTCTAAAATCTGCAGCTATTCATACTAAAATCAATCAAAGTGAAACTCAAAAGATCAAAGCTAGTGGAAATCAAATCACAATCATCAACAAGTCAAATGATGTGATAAAGTTAACAGCTACCAATGGAAATTCCACGAAAAAGAAGAGGTAAATGCGAATTGAACTCATAAAGCTTTTTGATTAATTCAATTCATATATTTTACAGTGTTTTGGACCTTCCAATGCCACCACAAATTGACATACCAGTTAAACCATCACCAACTCAATCTATAAAGAATCAACAACGCGAAAAAGTCAATGAACTTGTCAAAAAAGCATCAAATTCAGTTTTAGTCAGCATACCACTTGCAAAAATACTTGATGGCAAGACCATGGAGCCTATAATTGCTGCTAATTTTGAAAATAGCCAGCTCAAAAAAGCAATCATCACTCATCCACCGGAACTATTACCTCAACCAAAAGAAAAGATTACAACAGCCGAACATGTCGAGCATTTAAAGGAAATGCAGAGTCATTTGCTACAGGGAGCAATTTTTACGCCATTTGATCCAAAAGGAACTCCACCTCAGTTCCTAAAACCAGCACGTCCTTCAATCGTTAAACAGCCAGCATTCATAAGCACTAGATTTAGAAATCAACCATTTGAAAGCTTTAAAATTTTAGAACAAGTTGGAAAAGGAACTTACGGAAAAGTTTTTAAAGCAATTGATCAACAAACAAATGAAACAGTCGCAATGAAATACATAAAAGTGGAACATGAAACAGAAGGATTTCCAATAACATGTTTACGTGAAATAAAGATTCTTCGACAATTGGATCATCCAAATATTATTAAGCTACGAGACATTGTCTTTAGACATGAGAAGAACTCAACATATTTGGTATTTGATTACATGAATCATGACTTGTTAGGATTGAGAATGAATAAGGAAATGGACTTTGATGAGGCTAATATTTATTACATATCAAGACAGCTTCTTGAAGGCATCAATTATTGTCATAAAAATCAAATTATTCATCGTGACTTGAAGCTATCAAACATCTTAATGAACAATAAAGGACAAGTAAAAATTTGTGATTTTGGATTGAGCCGAATGTGGACAGTAAATCGACCATACACAAATAAAGTAATTTCACTTTGGTACCGACCGATTGAATTGTTACTAGGCGAGGAAATGTATGGACCATCTGTGGATATTTGGTCCCTTGGATGCATCATCTATGAATTGTTTAGACGTCGACCATTATTTGAGTATAACACCGAACTTGAGATTATTAATGCTATTTTTAATCTTTGTGGTACGCCTGAATACAACATGTGGCCTGAAGTCAAAAAGCTTCCTAAATATAAAACGTGTAAGCCAAGTCCAAGGATGAGAAACTTGAAAAATACATTATATCCAGCATTGCCACCTTCAGCGATTGATCTTGTTGATCAAATGTTAGCCTTAAATCCTGCAAAGAGAATAACAGCTGAAGATGCACTAACATCAAATTGGGTGATTAAAATGGAGAAGGCTGAAAGGAAGCCACTAAAACTTCCAAAAAATGACAGTTTGGAGATGCGAGCAAGGGAATTATGATTATTTTCGGTGAGTTTTGACAACTCTAATGCTGTTGTCAATTTTATTGTACTTATAATAAGGAAGTTATTTTATAGTAACAGTAAGCAATACGATACCTGAATAAAGAACAGTGATAATAATTAATCTAAGAATACTTCATCGTTGTCGAAATTGTGAACAATTGTATGATTCACATAATTTGGCGAGGAACTTCTCTGGTCAGCTAACTTGACTAGTTCCTGGATATCTAATTTTCTAGGCATCTCAAGGTCATAATTCTTTTGAAGTCCAAAAGGATGAACATTATTAATTAAATAGTTGAATCGATACATCTCACTAGGCTTTATATAATGCATACATGCTAGGTTTCTAGAACAGCATTCAAGTCCTCCTTGTGTAACATTAAACCATTGATTCCTTGTATACCAATAATCGTAGTCAAGCTTCTTATAAGACATGTGCTCCGTTACACTTACAGGGAAAAATTGTTTTTCGCCCAATTCATCGTGTCCATCAAGAAATAAAGCATTGCTTGCAAGACATTTTCCCATTTCTGCATCTTCAGCTCCATTTTCGTCAGTTCGACAAATTGTGCTGTTTTTAAAGATTCTCGAGAGTTTTTCTAATGCTTTTCTCGATAAAACATAGCCTGCGCCAGCCATATATCCTTCCTTAACATTCTGTATCACATATTTATGTCCAACAATAATTGATATACTGGAATTGTATTGATAGAGAGCCTGTCGAAGGTTTTCCATCACAAAATATCTGAAACTTGGAAGTAGATCTTTATAAGCTACGAAATGTGAATAAAATACTCACGAATCATCATCGCCTTTGAGAAACCAATCGTACTCCTTATAATACTTTAAGTAAGCTTGCTCGAAGCCATTTCGAACTTTACCCCATAAAATGTCACGTGATTCATTACGAGGAATACTGAATGTCTCAAAATTTGTATGATTTTTGGTGCTTAAAAGGATTAACTTGGTGCATTTATATCCCCAAGTGTTATTAACGTGATATACTTTAGTTTCATGATTTGATGGCTGTGTTAAGATCAGACACAAAATTTTCACTTGATCAAACAGTTTGTCAGCAAATGATGTGTCATATTTATGAAGATTGTCAATCGACTTTGCCTTATTATTGAATAATTCACTTCGGAAAGTTAAACTGTTGCTGTTCCTTAAAAAGATCCAAAAGAATACTTGTACGCCGACTACAAATCCAATGATGAATGCAAAAATTATTCCCGAATTCTTAATAGTCATGATATGTTCGAGTACAGCAATAAACTGAATTAAAATACGAAATTTCAGCTGCGAAAGTCTCTCAATTCTCAATTTTGATAACCATTGAGTACATAATATAAAATATTATCTGCGAGCAGTAATAGTATTTTATTTATATTTAATGAAATTTAAAGCTAATGTTGGAATTCCTCAATATGTGTTCGTATTGATAACCGTTCGTAGAAATATAAACAAAAATCTAAACTAGATAATTTTTATTTTAATCATATTAGGTACTTAATTTGCATAAAAAAGTTAATAATTTTCAAATTGTCGTGTTCATTGAACTTGACAGCATTAGAGAACCAAAAGATCATAGTTTGATTGATAAAATTAAGTGTTTAATGTGTCAATTCAACTTGTCAATAATGTGTCACAGTCAAACACAGATAACAGCACTAGACTGAACTCATCTTTTTCCTAATACTGATATTAAATAATACAAATTTAATATTTAAGTACATGCATGTCAAGGTCAATGTTATTAAAATCTAACTGTTTATAATACGCAGCGTATCCTCTGATTCCATTGATTCCGGATCTTCTTCTCCATTAAGTTTTAAATCAATGACTCGATAAATTTCACAAACTTCCTTAAATAATCCTTTATCAAAATAGAAGTAAACGATTGGATTGAGGACAATCAGGATGTGTGACAAGTAGGACATGATTATGAGCCATCCATAGTTGACTTCAATTGATAAATAAAGCTCCATTATGATAACCATGACCGGAACAAATGATAAGTTACAAACAAAGCCAAGTGTTGCTGCATATAGGAATATATTTCTATTCTGCGATGAATTTGCATTTTTCTCCCAATTAAATGTCGTGATAAGAATTGCAATATATACAATTGCCGGAACAACATGCTGGAATGTAAACATTGTGATGAGATATCTAGCATATGAATGTTCATGTCCTTGATAAATTATTGGAGCGCAAACACTTTTCCAATTTCCGTCATTTAATGGAACTAATGCTATTTCATAGTCATAATGTGGATATCCATAAAGGCATGCAACAAGCCAAATAATCACAACCAGACACATTCCATTTCTAGTACTTAATTTTGGATAAAATCTAGCCACAATTATTAAAGCGATGTAGGAAAATAGTTTCGATGTAAATGAGAATTGTTGAAGGAAATTCCTGACAAGGCACTGCATATATCCTGTAGAATCATGATGAGTGTCATCAATGATGAACAAAATCAGCAGAAATGATGCAATTAACAGCATTAATGTCACATTTAATATTAATATCACTATTCCATTCCGATCGCGACGCTTCTTAAGCTTCATTACAAAAATTATCAAATTTCCAATGAAACCAGTGAAGCTTATCGTAATTCCAATGATAACGTGGAATGCAAGCGCAACAGGTCTACGATCAAAATATTCCCATTCTAATTCTTCTATGTCTGACACAATGTTGTAATCATCTTCTTCAATCATTTTTTTTTTCGACTTACTTCTGAATAGAACAACGACTTGATTAATACTGAGAATGAAACTAGGCTACGAGAAAATGAATTTATGATATTAATGGCTTGCACTCGCTCATTATCGGTTTATATGCTGCTGATAAAAATACTAAAATTCAATTTCTATGCTTTGTTATGATTTGAGTATGTGGATGATGTTTTGAAGATTCTCACCGTTCGATCTACGTAATTTATGAACGACTCTTTGCTCTGGTAAAAAGGAATATTGATATTAATCTATTTACATTTTGTTATGCTTTATCAAATCAATTGATTTATTTCTCTTTGAGTTCTTTAGAACTACAATCTTCGATTCATACATTGTGTTATGAATAATCATCAATAACAGACTGCATTTTTGTTTACATTTCTCAGACTTAATTGAATTAATTTGATAAGAACTAGTCGTAGTACTTTTTATTCTATATTGAAGATCATGTTTTGCTGTCATTTATTACAAAATATAGTGTTTCTTAATATATGACTTATTGAATATTAGATTGATTCCATAAACAAGGAAATTTTCACATTTTAGATTTCATTACTTTAACATTGTCAATTGAATTCTAGATTCTAAATCAGTGTTGCATTCTGGGCATTTGTCTGGATCAGATAAATTCTGAGACAGAAATTTCTTCATAAAGATCGATTCTATATGAAGATGGAAAATCTAATCTACACAAAGATTATTTCTACATAAACAATCTGTCTACATAAAGATTCGATGTAGATGTCTACAATTCTACATTCTTCTCTGGTGTAGGCCTGGAAAAAATGTAGAATTGAAGACATCTACATCGAATCTTTATGTAGACAGAATCTTTGTGTAGATTAGATTTTCTATCTTCATATAGAATCGATCTTTATGAAGAAAGTTTCTTAGCTAGACAAAAACTATTGAAGAATCTACATTCTTCATCTAGTGTAGACATCTACATTTGCAACACTGTTCTAAATTTTACATTTTACTGCAATGATCTAAAATGCTTCATCACTAGCAGTATCTTTAATTAGACTTTCCAAATCTCTATTATCAAATTTTCTTCCAATTAAAATTTCAAAACTTTCCAGAACTTCTTTATAAAATTCTCGATCAAAATAACAAATAACAAAAACATTACTTGGAACTACAAAATAATACAAATAACATAGTAGAATGCTCGATATAAAGCTGATATCAATAGTTCCATAAAATAACAAGATAAAAGCTATAGTTGGTATAATTGATATTATATGCAGAAGTCCAACAAAAACAGAATAATGATAAACATTTTTGTTGATAACAAAATTCTCGGTCTTTAAAGACTTACTTAAATAAGCAGAAGATCCAGCTAAGACTAACGTCGGAACCAAATATTCAATTATTAACAAGTTCACTTCTAATGCACAAAATGCTTCATATTCTTCAACTTTTGGAGCACAAAAATAAATTTCAGTTCCGGTGCTTGTTGGATAATCGTACATTTCCAATGATACGTAAGGATAGGCGACAAAAACTGCGATGATCCAAATGATTGCCACTATATAGTATCCACAAGATTTATCCAGATCACAGAAAAATTTTGATATGATTATTAACGCAGAAATGGTTAAAATAAACGAAATGGCTGAATGGTGGATTACAATGAACTTAACATAGCACAAAGTAAGGTATAACGATCCATAGGCATCATCACTTAATTGTAAAAGTATTAGAGAGCAGTACAAGATTGATGAAATTGCCAGATTCACTATTAAAATATCCACTGCTTTTAACTGACGAACTTTTGTGATTTTTACTGCAACTATGACTGCATTCCCAACTATTCCAATTAAAACTATAAAAATGCTAAGAATGACATGCAGAAAAAGTACAAAAGGATGAGAATGAAAGTACTCCCAATCGTATTCCTCAATTTCCACTTCAATATTTAAATCTTGTGTCATTTTTTGCTCGGAAAATATTTTATAGCTTTAAAGACTTTAAGTGATTCGAACAGAATGCAGTTTACAACTAAATTGATAATTATTTACAGTTTATTGAAGGAAACAAACTAGTTTCAGTGCTGCTTGTTGTTTCTGTCAATGCAGTTTTAGTCGTTTAAATAACAGAGCGATAAGAATTCCGAATCTTTATTTTTGTTTGCTTTCTTCTTCTAGAAATTCCAAAATTCTACGTGACCTTAAAATTATCAACTAAATATGCAAAATGATGATGCAATTTATAATTTCTATAACGAATTTATTTATTCCTTGTTCTCTGGCAATTGAGTCTCCAAATTCAAATTACCGTTGTTATCATTGGATCTTTTAAAAAATATAACACGAATATCCTTCTTAAATGCAGGATCATAATAATAAAGCAAAAATGGATTAACTGGAAGTACAATCAAATTCAAGAAGTAAGCAAGTGCACTATGATGATAAATATATCTTTGGACACCAAGATAGTGCAAAATCGGAAGTACCGATGGAATTATTCCTAAGTAAAAGAGAATAGAATTGATTATGCCATAAATAAAGATGCTTTGATTGGGCGATGATGCCTTACACCTTAAAAGACATAACACAATAAACAGTCCAAATATTGGAAGAATGTAGTCTAAAGTGAACATTAGCAGCTCGTACTCAAAGTATAAGAAATGTTCATCACTTGATTGTTGACAATATCCAACTTTGTCCGAAACTTCTGATGAGCCTTTGAAATACTCTACTTGAAAATTTAAGTAAGGATGTCCACGAATAAGTCCATAAATCCAAATAACTATATTCATAATCAATCCAATTTTGAGTTCCAACTTTGTGTAATATTTTGATACAATTATCAGACTAAATATTGAAGGAATTGACACTGCTATAGGAAGATAAGTGAGGCTATGTTTGAGTTGACAAAACCAAACGTTTGATGCACCAAAATAATCTTCGATGAACACAAGAACTGACCAAACGGATGAAAGAATTAAGGACAGTGAATAAGTAATCACCAAAAGATCCATGCTTCTTCGACTTTTTATCTTTCTCAACTTTAATGCACACACTATTGCATTTCCAATAATTCCAATTGAACATGACAAAATAGGAAGCACTACATTCCAAAATGATACAATTGGATGCTTCTGATAATATGCCCATCCAAATTCTTCTTCAATCTCAGCTTGATAATCCAAATAATCTTCCATGACTTAAAAAAAATATTCAAATATGTTTCAGCAAGGTTAGATTAAAGACTGAATTGACATGAATTTTTGAGTGACGATTTTCTTGAAATTTAAAACGAGAGAGGATCTTTTCTCATTTTAAAGCATGCATCTGTTGACTTGTGACTTGACTGAAAGAATTAAATTTTTTATGAATTTCTCTGAGTCAAACTCAATTTGTTAAGTATATGGCATATTTGTATAGTTTTTATTTTGGATAGCACTAAGATTCACAACATTTTAAATAAGCATCAATAAGTTTAAGTATCAAACAGTCATAATAATTCGTTCATCACCAAATATTTCATGAAATTCATTCTCATTTCTTCTTTCAAATTTAAAATACTTCCGAATTTCTTCATAAAACTTTTGATTGCAACAGAAATAAACCAATGGACTTATTACTAATATCATAGCCATAAAGAGAGAATTAAGGTACACATAAGAATATTTCATGTAAGAGACACCTTGATTGTGAAAAAACAGCATGTTAAGCTTCACTGGAATTGATGTGAGACAAAAGTATGTTGAAATGATCACCACATAAGTCCATATTCCTAAATACTTAATCACTTTTGGTGTTTGGAATAATAAAGTTACAAGGAAGTAGACGGCAATGATAATTGATGGAATTATGAATTCAAGGTACAATTTAGTTGATGATCGGTTTATTATGCTCTTCCAATGTTGTCCTGGGTAAAATTGTATGCAAATATTGTGAACAGTTGTCTTGCCAATAATATAAGTTTGAATAGTCGTGATCCTATAAAATGGATATGACAGAAATAACACGAAAATCCAGATTAAAAGAATAAGTAGGAATCCTCGAGTTTTACTGATTTGTGGATTAAACTTCGTAACAATCATCAGTACAACAGCTGAATAAATGATCATTGGATCTGAAAAATCTCCAGAAACATGCTCTGCATAGCATGTAAAGCTATTTGTGATTTCATGAGTCACAATTGACAGCATCAATAGAAAATATTTGACAGAATTGAAAATTAATCCAAATGCAATGCAAGTTGCAAGCCATTCAAAGATGCTTCTTTCCTTGAACTTCCTTAACTTCATGAAGACGATCAGTGAATTCAGCAGAATTCCAAGTATCGTGACTGTAACCATGATTGTAATGTAGGAAAACCTCTTAATCGGTCTTTTGTCAAAATATTCGTAAAACATTTCAAATTCCTCGTAATCCTCAGATGCATTGCTGCCCGGAAGGATAAGTGGGTTGCTTGAGTTTCTCATTTTATTGATCCTTCTTATTCACTTTCCACAGAATTAAAATATTCTTCCGACTGCATCGATTTTAAAATGACGACTGAAGTTGTCATATGAAATATTATTCCTACATTCTTGCACATGCAATAAATCTATAACGCATTTCCGAACATCTGAGTCAAATGAGTAGGTCACTTGATAAGGAAGTCATTTGTTCTCTTCTCATTTGTTTCTGCAATTTGCTATTGTTTGAGTTTATTGACTTTCTTTACGGTTCAGAGAAATTTTTTGATAATAAAATTCACATTTTTGATTTTATTAATTTGGCTAGCTTTTGGGTTGAATCAGGAGCGTAGCCAGGAGGGTCTTGTCCCCTTCTTAAGCGTTTTAAGGACGTGCTCTCGCTACGGTTCAAAACGTTTAAGGGGGAGGACAAGACCCTTCTGGATACGCGCCTGGGTTGAATAGGAGTAGCCGTGAAACACATTCAAGGCAACAAATGAACAATGAGAGATGATAAAAGAGTCGATTATGAGCCTGGAATTTTTATTTGAATATAATGTGATTAATTAGGTTCACACCGCAGTAAGACAGCTTTATCTGTTCATTGGAGTATGTTTAAAGAGCGAAAGCAAGTAAGTGTCATCTCCATCCTCGTTTTGGTTCATAATTTGCAAAATCCAGCTTCTTCAATCAACACTAAGTCCATATGCTTCAGTAAACAATAAGAATTCAGATTTTATTAAAAATAAAAAAAAAACGTAACGAGCTCAAAAAGCGCACATGTTTTTTGTATTTTCATCAAAAACTGGGCATTTTGCATCGGAACTATTTATTTTGGACATGATTTGTGAAAGAATTTTTATCCAAAACCTTATTTTAGATAAGATCATTAGAAAATGTAATTTTTTCTCTTAAAAACTAAAATTTGAATCACTTTTGAGTCATAAAAATTTACAAATTTTGTTAAAACCTTCAATTTATTCGTACATCCTTCAACAAAATCAGACAAGCCTTTACAGTTTCTCTAACCTTGATAAAAACTTAATTTAAAAGCACAAAAAAATCGTCAAAAATTTCAAATTTCCCAGAAGTCTTTTCCATTCTAATAACTTCCATCTACTCATCATCCACATCCATTAAGCATCCTCATTTCCTTCACAATAAGCTGATGTGCGCATGTCAAATAACCTATTTTGATCAATAAATTGATTTTTCAAAATAAAAATACAAATATTATTTCATTGTGACTTAAAAAATTAGATTAAGCATATCTTTCACTTCCTTTCTCCACAAATTCTTCATCTTTTTGCACTTTTGGATTATAATAATCAATCAAGCTGGAGAAAAACATGACAGAGTTAAGAAGTAGTCGTGTATTTCCGCAAACATTACAGCCAACGGGAAGGACAGTATGGGAGCTGGATTTAAATACATTATCATGTGGAATGAATGAAGAAAATGACCAACAAGAAATCACATCAACTGATTCAAATATCCTGACTGAAAGTGGTGGCTCAGAGATGTTGCTGTTCAGGAATCCAATGGATGATGAAGATTTAGATATTTTTGATTGCTTCAAGTCAGGCGAGATTAATGAAGTGGAGAATTTAGTTGATAAGTTAGGACCAGAAATATTAAGTTCACGTGATAAGCACGGCTATACAATTGCACATTGGGTGTGCTTGGATGGAAATGCTGAACTTTGTCGTTATCTTATCGAGAAAAATGCACCAATTGACTTACCTTGTTTAGGAATTCAAGGACCACATCCAATACACTGGGCAGCACGTAAAGGACACACAGCAATTATTCAGCTTTTACTTCAAACAGGTCAAGTGAATGTCAATACTGCTGATTTTAAAGGATTGACTCCACTCATGACTGCTGCTATGTATGGAAAAATGATTACAGCTTGCTACTTGCTTGGTATGGGTGCACAACATCATTTGACAGACATAAATGGTGATGCAGCTATTCATTGGGCTTCTTATAAAGGACATGCTGAAATTATTCAAATTTTAATTAATTCTGGTGTTGATTTATCAAAAACTGATAATTTTGGATCCACGCCTTTACACCTATCTTGCTTGTCTGGAAATATTCAATCAGTTAAATTGCTATGTCAAAAAAGGAATTTAGATCTTCAACCAAAGGATAAGAATGAAAAGACACCATTAATGCTAGCACAAAGTCATCGTCATTATGAGATTGTAAAGCTATTGCAGAATGAAATGAAAAAGAAGTCTCGTTGGTTTCCAGCATTTTCAGAAGTTTGGGGATGGCTGTTTGGTGGAGCTGGAAATTCTAAAGGACCTTTGTTCCTCTTTTTAGTTTCTGTACTACTGTGGGGATATCCAATGTACATCATTCGTTGCATTCCAATCACATGGAATACATTAAGACGTTCTCACTATGTCTTTATTTATTGGAACTTGTTGATGTGGGCTAGCTGGATTATAGCTAATCGAAAGAATCCTGGTTATATTCCAATGAACTCAGATTCATATTATCAAGCAATAAAGCAAATTCCTTATTTGGATAAATGGAAAAAGCGGTCATGCAATGCGATATTGTCACGATTGTGTCATAGCTGTAGATGCTTAAGACCAATGAGAGCTAAACATTGTAGGATTTGCAACAGATGTGTTCAGGTTTGTGATACTTATTTAATTTTTTGAACTGTTTACTGAATTATGCTTAATTTGCAGTCTTTCGACCACCACTGTGCATTCATTCATAATTGTGTTGGCCTCAAAAATCGTGTCTGGTTTTTCCTGTTCGTGTTATCAATTGCTGTGAACTGCTCATTCACCATTTACTTTACCTGTTATTGCGTTATGATTGAAGGATTTACGTTACTCTATGTTCTTGGTCTGTTGGAAGCATTCTTCTTCTGTGGATTAGGATGGATATTGACATGCACATCTGTAAGATTGTTTTGTTATTTTCCTTGTAAATTTGATGTTAATTTGAATATTTTAGATTCTTCATGCCTGCATGAATCTCACAACAAATGAAATGTTCAATTACAAACGCTACCCATACTTGCGTGACAAACGAGGACGTTATAACAACCGCTTCTCACGAGGAATTGTTATGAATTTATTTGAATTTGTTCTAATGCGTCCTGTCGATGAAGAAATGTTTTTAGACGAGCAACTTTGAAAATCACTCAAATCGTTGAGGTCATCAAGATCAACACTTTATTCCGAATAAATCTTTTTTTGAAATTATCACAATCTCACTTTTGAGCTTTAAAAACATGCTTTCAACAAAGTTTGATCCTCATGATTTACAACGATTTCACGTGATGAACAATATTAATCTTATTGCACGAAAAAACGACTTTATAGCCTAAATAATTTAACTCAAAAGACAAGGAATTTGAAGGCTTCTGGTAGTGTTAAGAATTTATATTGGGAACGAATGACGGCATTTGTTAATTGTAGAATGTGATTTGAAGCTTAGAATTCCTTTTCTTTTTGAGGGTATGTCAAGCTACTCATGATTTTTAAGTTAGGATATTGAAGATAATTCAATAAATTTGATCCTAATCATTATTGTAATCTGAAGGATGAAGCAATGTCAATCAACAACTATTAACAGACATTTTCTGCTAGCTGCTAAAGGGGACGTTCACTTATGATGTCCAGAGAGGGGGGGTTGCAAGAAAAGAACAATAGAAATTCCTGGAAATCCATTGTTCTTTTTAAAAAATTACCGTTAATTTCGGGCGTCATAAGTGAACAATCTCTAAGGTTAAATACCAGTAAAGTACACTTCTAGATTTTAAAAGCTCAATCTTACAATGTATTTCTCTAACTTCAATTATATGAGTAGCTTGAATTTATTAGATATGATTAAATTTGAATGTTTTATCTATTCTATTGAAATTTTATATAAAAAAAAAATTATAAGCCACAATATTGAAAATTTGTTATCGAATAAATAAAATTTTCTCGCTTCAAAGCTTAAACAGTTGTGTTTCCATAATGAACATATTGTCCATAAGAAGATTTTGTTTACAAAAAGCAGCATTTCATTCAATAATCTTCGCGACTTTAGAAACCGATAAAAAAATTCATTCATGAATTTTTCATCAACAGTCCCACCTTCATTTCCTCAATTTTAATCTTATCTGAAATTGTGAAAGTCTCAAAATTTGTTTTAAAATCCTTTTTTCAGTGGAATTTGAATGTCGTGATATCACGTTGAACTCAAACCGAACAAAACGAGTAAAGTGAATTTGGACAAAGATAAATTTAACACCTTAAAATAATTAAAAGATCAAAATATTTTCAGCAAAGTATGAATATTTTTTTATTTCGAGTCAGCATGGCATTGTTCTGTTTCCATATTGACACCATTCTTTAATGACATTCATAAAAGCATTGCCAGGTCCTGAATAAGCAAAATCACTTCGACCATAAATTTTAATATTTGATGATAATTTTCCTAGCACTTGTGCATCTTCTATAATCCTTAATATTGAATTTGAAAGCTTATTGTTCGGTGTGATTGAATTGAAGTTACCAATGGCTGCGATACCAATAGTTTTTGGATTATATTCCCTTGTATGAGCACCAACATTGTCCCATCCTCTACCTTCGAACACTAATCCTAGAAATTATAGAAATTTAATAATCATGCAATAAAAATAAAGTGCTGTGCTTTACCGTCAGCTCCGACAAAGAAGTTGTACGATGTATCATCAAAACTCCTACTAAATGCATCAGACTGCATAGCCCTTACTTTAATAATGCACGATTTCTATAACAATTCAAGTAAGTTTCAAGAAATCTTATCAAAGCATTTCAATTCTCACCAAATCTGTGCATTCTGTTGTTTCTGTATGTCCTATTAGGACTGAGTCAATAACTTGATTAAACTTTGTTGGAGTTCCTCTATACCTTTGCGCACTCCACTCAATTCTTCTGTGAATTTTGTATACTGGAATAATTTTAATGAATCATTTGAAGTGCTGAATTTTTGAATAACTTACATGATCTATAGTTCTTAAATGTCTCTAATGCTGAATTGAGTACATTAGCCTGCACTGTATTATATACTAAATCATCTTGAGAAACAATGATATAATCTCGGTCTATAATCTCAAGATCAATGAATGTTTCTAAGAATATTTTTAACAAATTAAGTTGAGACGAATCAGGAGCAATAACTTGATAATCTCCAATAAATGCAATACATATTCCAATACTGTTATAATCTGTGCCATCCAAGTTCATCGAATGTTGACCTTCATTATTGAGTCCACGTCCTTCATATATCAATCCATCTCCACCAATTAGAAAATTGTATGGAATATCATCTAGATTAGGATCTTTTGTTTGAATCTTCTTCACAATATCTGTGCAGTGAGACTGGAAATAGAATTTCTATTAGATTCACTGAAGTTTAATTAATTATCAGTTCCAGAGTTGCGACGACAGGTACCTGTCACAGGTAAAGGTGACAGTTTCTGTCAAAAGATCACCTGTCACAGGCCGTTACCTGTTCACAGGTCAAATTTTTTCGCCTATCACAGGTCTGACCTGTCAAAGGTTCTACCTGTCACAGGTCGTTACCTGTTCACAGGTCAAATTTTTTCGCCTGTCACAGGTCTGACCTGTCAAAGGTTCTGCCTGTCACAGGTCGTTACCTGTTCACAGGTCAATTTTTTACGCCTGTCACAGGTCTGACCTGTCAAAGGTTCTGCCTGTCACAGGACGTTACCTGTTCACAGGTCAATTTTTTCCACCTGTCACAGCTCTGACCTGTCGCAGGCCTCACCTGTGACAGGTCGTCACCTGTTGACAGGTAGAAAAAATCTACCTGTCACAGCTTGACCTGTCACCTGTCACCTGTCACCTTTGACTATCGAAATTTTTTTCTTCTAGTGAAGTATAAAGATTTCATACAAAATTCATCAATTTTTTTGCTTCCTCAAGTCACGAGTTCAAATCTCACCGCAAGCAACTTTCTTTTTTTGCATTTTTATGATTTGTTTTTAAACTTTTTTGATAAAACATTAAGTTTTATGACAAATTTTTCCATTTTCATATTTTATTTCTTCACTTTCTATATTTTAACATGTATTTTAAATTTTTTCCATATATTTTCATTCAAATTCAACTTTTTTTGTCATACTTTAGTTTACCAAGCTGAAATCTGACACAAAGGCTCTTTTCCTAGATCTAGATGTTCTGAAATCGTAATCTTGGATTATAATTTTTTATATATTTCGACTTTTTGCGGTCTCGAATGACAAAGTCTATACTAGTTTTAATATTTTATGCCATTTTATGATCCAAGATTACGATTTTAGAACATCCAGATCTAGGAAAAGAGCCTTTGTATCAGATTTCAGCTTGTTAAAATAAAATATGTATAAAATATTGATAAAATATGACAAAAAAAGTTGAATTTGTATGAAAATATATGGAAAAAAGTTAAAATACATGTTAAAATATAGAAAGTGAAGAAATAAAATATGAAAATGGAAAACTTTGTCATAAAACTTAATATTTTATCAAAAAAGTTTAAAAACAAATCATAAAAATGCAAAAAAAGAAAGTTGCTTGCGAAGAGATTTGAACCCGTGACTTGAGGAAGAAAAAAAATTGATGAATTTTGTATGAAATCTTTATACTTCACTAGAAGAAAAAAATTTCGATAGTCAAAGGTGACAGGTGACAGGTGACAGGTCAAGCTGTGACAGGTAGATTTTTTCTACCTGTCAACAGGTGACGACCTGTCACAGGTGAGGCCTGCGACAGGTCAGAGCTGTGACAGGTGGAAAAAATTGACCTGTGAACAGGTAACGTCCTGTGACAGGCAGAACCTTTGACAGGTCAGACCTGTGATAGGCGAAAAAAATTGACCTGTGAACAGGTAACGACCTGTGACAGGCAGAACCTTTGACAGGTCAGACCTGTGACAGGCGAAAAAATTTGACCTGTGAACAGGTAACGGCCTGTGACAGGTAGAACCTTTGACAGGTCAGACCTGTGATAGGCGAAAAAATTTGACCTGTGAACAGGTAACGGCCTGTGACAGGTGGGCTGTTTTTGTTGACCTGTGACAGATCGCAACTCTGATCAGTTCGATTAGCTTAGATGTCTGAACTAGTATAGAGCACATGTATTTGTAGAGAATGGTTGCTTCTGATTTAAAGGAGTCAAGACTGAACTGATTTAGGCCGAAAATTTATCACAGACTAGTCAAGCTGATATTATCTAAGTTAAGTATATATGTATCATGAATATCGTACCTTTTCAAAGCAAGAATTTCCTGATGTCTGACCAATAATGATCCTCTTAATTGGCCCCAAAAGTTTTGAAATATTTAATGATTTCGGTGAAATAGCATTCCACATTTCACGAGTAACTAGTAATTCAGGAAATAATATAGGTAGTAAGGTAGTGTCAAAAGTGTTTATACTAATATCCTCAGTAGTTGCATCTACATTTTCAGCACAATCTATACATCCATTAATAGCTCTATAAGGATTTATTAATGTAAGAAATATTGTAAGACTGCCAATAATAACAACAAGTGCGATAACAATACACGTAATACAAATCCACATAAATTTCCTATTGCTGATATGCTTTATAAGTCTATTGCTCTCTGTGTCAAAAATTGAGTGTGTTGAGTCAGAAACATTGTCACGTTCAAGCTGTTGATTACTATTATTTAATGTACAGTTGCTACAATTTGTTGCATCATTTGGAATGATATAATTGACATAAATCACGTCACCAACATGAACACCTTCTCTTTTTGGTAATTTTTCACTACTTTTTGAGTCTACAGCTAATACACTATCACTTAAAGAGGCTAATTTCGCTAAATCTTCATATTGCTGCTTAACAAAAGCTTCTGCTTTAGAACTAGTTACTGTCGAAAATGATTCGCTCCTTTGTAAACCCCTCCGCCTATCTAAAATTTCTGAGATATTTGCTAAGTTTTCGTCGATTTTCATTGTAATTACTTGAAATTTCCGAATAGACTGAATCAAACAAATCAGAACATTCGAAATATAATTTTGATTTTTTATCTTATCTTGATTTTTTTAAAAGTCATTAATCTGATATGCTAAAAATAAATCTATGATAAGGCATTTGTTTGAAGGTATTAAGATTGACGAAATTTTCTATGGAAATTTAAAGAAAATTAATCTCCAAAAAATGCTACCAAATTTTCGTATCATGTTTATGTCATAAATATCGGCTGATTAACATCGTTAGAGTTCGTTTTTTGGACCTCACGTACCTGATTTTTTTTCCAAGAACAATTCTTTTGGTTCTTAATGGTTTAAAATTTATGATTTTCTTACACCACACTAAGACAGCTTTATCAATTCATCTGCAGGGACTTACAACTTGATGTCTGAAACTTAATAAAAGTCTTACCAATGATTATTTATTCAATGAAAGTCAAAGTCACCCTCAAATTCTCTTAATAACTTAATAATGAGAAGAAAATCCATCGATCAATCACACCCACTCTTATAAAGTTCATCGTTTTGTAAGTTTTTTTTGATAAGAAATAAAAAACTGGTTACTGAAAAATAGAAACTGGTTTGCGAAGGAAAATCTACTGATTTTACTTGAGCATTGTTGTTGATTTTTGTTGATAAGGAGCGAGAACTTACCATGATTGGCGTGTGACACGAGTAAAATTATAAAATGACGATTGTTTTGTCGACCAAACTTATCACATAACGACCTTAAATTATCAATAAAACCTGATTTAATCCATTCTGGTGAAATTTAATTTCATTAATTAGTGCTTGATAAAGTGAAATATTGGTCGAAGTTATGCTTGTTTACTGAAAATTTAGGTTTTCAATCGATTGCTTTATTACTGCTAATAAAAATAGTAGATGATAAGACATTGAAATGAAAACGTGCAATCGAATACCAGGAAATTTTATTTGTGATATTTTCGATAATTGTTCAAGGTTGCTGATCGCAAATTTTCATACTTTATGCTGGTTTTAAAATCTTTAATTGCGTGTAAAATGTCTATTAATAGAGTGAATCGATTATAGCACCTATAGAGTTGAATTTAAGTATCAAAAATAACTTCATAACAACTTTAGAATCACTTCAGTTGAGGTCTGAACCATTTCACATGTTCGAAGCTTATTTATCTCAATGTATCATAATTCCTAAATCAAAATACTTGATCTTTCTAAGCTTTTAAAGTAAAATTCATTTGCTTACTTTCGGATTCTTTTAAAGAACAATTCAAAGTTTGAATTTCACAATTCAAGCATGTTCGAGTGGTGAAAATTCAAAACCCCGTAAATATGGTGAATAAATTCAAAAAGTTCGTTAAAAATGTTGAAAAATTACAAATTTCTATTCAGTAATCTTTAAGTTCGTGTCAGTTCAGTTCGTGTGTTGAGTTTAGCTGATTAATTTACTTTAAGAAATGAGTATAAAAATTTAAGTCTATTACACGTTAATTTAATTAATGAGTTATCCAGTGTAAAAATATTTTAAAAGTTCCTTATAAATGACATAAAGTCATCCAAATATCAATGATCTAAAGCTTTCAATTTGATGAATACAAAAGTAAACAAATCATCACAACAACAACGAAAGAAAAAAAATCAATTTTTTTATTTAACTGTGGAAATATCAAGGATTATCACATTAAACAAACTCATTCGCGATGATTCAAGCTATTCTTGTGTTCAATAATCATGGAAAACCGAGACTTTCAAAATTTTATACGTATTTTGTAAGGAATTGAGCTTATTTGTAAATTTTTGATGATTCCATATGTATTGTAATTAATTGCAGAATGAGCATCAGCAGCAGCAAATAATCAAAGAAACATTCCAGTTAGTGAGTAAGCGAGAGGATTCCGTATGTAACTTCCTCGAATATCCAGGATCATTCCTTATTGATAATTCAAGTTCAGATTGTAAATTAATTTATCGTCACTATGCTACGCTGTACTTTGTATTTTGCGTTGATAGCAGCGAGAGGTAATGACCTGTAATTATTGACACTTCATAATTATCAATTTTCACTTTCTATTATCAGTGAACTCGGCATTCTCGACTTGATTCAAGTTTTTGTTGAGACACTCGACAAATGCTTTGAAAATGTATGCGAATTAGACTTAATTTTTCACGCTGATGCTGTACACTACATTCTCAATGAACTAGTCATGGGTGGAATGGTTTTACAGACAAATATGAATGAGATTCTTGCCAGAGTTGAGGACCAAAGTAAAATATCAAAATCTGAGGTAAGTTTGCTTTTCATCCCCAAAACTTTGCCACAAAATTAGTCAATTTATTTATTAGGCTGGAATATCAGCAACTGGAGCATCACGCGCAGTTTCTGCTATGAAAAATATTAATCTTCCCCAAATTAAAGACAAAGTCTTTGTCGATTTACCCGATAAGTTACGTGACTTTAAATTTTGACCCCGAGCGCTTGAGCCACCTCCGACTGTTTCCCTTGATGCAACAAGTATGTCAGCATTTAAATTGGACTATTATCAAAATGATAGTGGATATACTGAACTGAAAGGTGATCTGAAAAAATAATGAATCTTAATGAAATTAAATAATGGAACCACGAATCAATTAGACAAAACGAAACACGAGGAATCATTCAAAATTTTATAAAATAAAATATTTAAATGAAACTTATCTCTCCGTACATATGACACTTATACCTATTATATATTAAAACAAAAAAATCATGAGATTATCTAAATCTAATATTTTATAGCAAAATTGAGTAATTTAATAATAAAACCTGTCCCTGCAAATGAAGAAAAAATTGTTTTGAATTTTTAAGGCTTCTTCTTACATCATGTTTTAATCTCTTTTGAATAATTTCTACTTGTTGGTCTTTTTTTGATAACAGTCGAGGATCATCAAACATTTGCGAAATTCTATTCTGTTCAATAAGATGGAAAGGTTAAGGAAGCACTGTTTTTTAAAATCATAAATATGAAAATGCTCTTAAAAATACTGACATAAATACTTTCAAATCCATAAAATATCCTTAAAAAATTTTGCTACAAGGATTTAAAAATCCAGTGGTTCTCAAAAACATTGGTAGACTTGAGAAAAGTTTGGAAATTCTAGATAGGTTCATATTTTGAAGAATTGCATTGATAAAGCTATTAATCTCCTTTCTACTTTGTCATACTTAAAATATGTGACCACTGGAGCTCACACCGTACTAAGACAGCTTTATTTTCTCACTTCCTGGCTATATTGAGTTGGGAGAATATCTTAACAAAGTTAAGGATCCTTCATCCTCATCCCTGCTTTACCTGATGATAAATGATTAAATCTTTGGTCACATTTCCCAAAAGAAATTCACATTCTCAAAAATAAATCAATCAGTTTGAAGCAATTTCGATGAAATCAATCAAAAGCTCAGATAGAAATTTCACAATGCTCAATATTCTTTCAGTTAAGTGGAAAACTTCCAAGAATTTTATTTCATTTATCTTACTCGAACAAAAGAAAACGAAGCAAAAAAAATCCTAATGGCAAAGGAATGAGACATATATAAATAGACACACATACACAAAACTCACAGTGGAGATGAGATTTACTGAAATAATTGCTCTAATTATCAGCTTTTCTTCTCGTTTTTCGAATTTCCTTCTTTTTATTTTATTTCATCTCGTCCCCCTTTTTCACTCTGCATTGTTATCAAGATTCACATACAACAAGCAAAGTTAAACGTATGAAAAAGATATTTTCAGATGTCTTTCTCGCTCGTTTTCCTTTTTTTATGCTGTTATGATGCTTTCATAATTTATCGTTTATGATGAAATGAGAGGATAAAAAAAATGTCTTCCGTTGTTGAAGCGTCATCCATATAATTCATCTAAATTAAGCAATTTAAGATACAAAATTGGAATAATTTTCTGTCTTTGCTTATGTTAATGTCGCGTCTTTCCTTTCTTCTATGCATTAAATAATTGTAATTCAAGCATAATGGAATGAATTTAGTATCGAATAAAATAACAATTCATTTTGTTCTTTTAAATAAGAATATTTAATTTAATTTCAAATTGAAACAATCCAGCTTTTTAATGTTTCAAGGAATATGAGCTGTGACTGAATGAGTTGCTTACGGCTTGAACTTTTCCATATGCTTTAGAATTATGTTAATCCTTTGACAGTAAAATTCTCACTCGGATCCGAAATTTATGAAAAAACTAGTAAGAGTAAGGTCTATAAAGCTGAGCATGCAGCTATGGATCATCCTTGATTTAAAAATCTTAGTTTAACGTTCGAAGAAACTTTGGATTTGATGTAAAACTAAATTTCAACCATAATCTCGATTAGCTCGGAATCTCATGAATCTTAAGCATGAGCGTTCGACGAACTTTAGGTTCTGCGATCTTAGTCATCGTTAGAATCTAAGGATCACTTAGTTTTTATATTTAACCGAAATTCCTCAATCCTGTGTTACGTATCCAAAAAGTATAAAAAAAGCTTCCACATCTTGCTAGCTGAAAAACAGCAAATACCCACATTCTATTTCTATTCTTTTCCTTTCTCTCCGGAGCTTTTACGCTGTCTCTTTAAAATGAAAATAAATGAATTTATTTTCAAGTCCACATAAATTATTAAGATACAGACGCCAGAAAATTTACAAAAGTTGCACCACATGACATATGTCATGTATTACACATGTGACATAATACAAATATAAACATAAATTATGTGATACAGTAGCGTGCAGAATATTATGGACGGTCAAAAAAATTTCGTTTTTATTCTCAAAAGCATACTTAACGTTGTCCAATTTAGATGAAATTTTCACCACTTATACTGTTTTTCATGTGCTTCCACATGATAAAATATAAATATGCTATAGTTAATAATTTTTGAAAAAACCGTTAAAATTCAAAATCAGGTGCGTGCAAAATATTATGGACGATTCTTTTTTGGTAATTTTTTTTATGTTTAAGCTATTTAAGCTTACTTTTTAAACTTTAAACATGAAGTTCAAACATTTTACTCCAATTTTATACATTCTTAATGGATGTGTAGCAAGTTTAAGGCATAAAAAAATCATGATGAAAAATTATGCAAATATTTTACTATTTTTGTTACTTTTCATCAATAGCAAGCATTAATATCGGTTATTTTAGACTGTAATGTATTGAATTCTTAACTATCTTTCTATTGATATATAATTTGTCTGTATTAATATAGTCTAATTGAAAAAAATTACGAAAAAAGTTCATTGAAGAGGGAAAAATTTCATCAACAAAAATATAAATTGATTAAAATTTCTTAAATATCCATGAAATATTACCCAATTTAGTCTTATTTTCTCACATATATGTTGTAGATTAGTAATTAGGTAGAATTACATTTTAATATTGCACGATAAGATATATTTTTATGAGCCAATACTATGAAAAAAGTCATGTTGAAACTTGAAAAATATTTCATAATATTTTTTACATTTTATGCAGTATAAATTTATGTAAATCAATTAAAAACAACTCAAAATACTCTTTGCCAACTATTTAAGCCAAAAACAAGAGAGAAAAATGCATACTTAAAAGTTTAATGACAAATATTTTTTTCGTCTTTAAAATTTTCTTTTGGTCATACAGAAGGCTCTCTTTTTATGACTTTATTACTCAAAATATAAATTTATAACTGCTCAATTACTAATCTACAACATAAATGTGAGAAAATAAGACTAAATTGGGTAATATTTCATGGATATTTAAGAAATTTTAATCAATTTATATTTTTGTTGATGAAATTTTTCCCTCTTCAATGAACTTTTTTCGTAATTTTTTTCATTTAGACTATATTAATACAGACAAATTATATATCAATAGAAAGATAGTTAAGAATTCAATACATTACAGTCTAAAATAACCGATATTAATGCTTGCTATTGATGAAAAGTAACAAAAATAGTAAAATATTTGCATAATTTTTCATCATGATTTTTTTATGCCTTAAACTTGCTACACATCCATTAAGAATGTATAAAATTGGAGTAAAATGTTTGAACTTCATGTTTAAAGTTTAAAAAGTAAGCTTAAATAGCTTAAACATAAAAAAAATTACCAAAAAAGAATCGTCCATAATATTTTGCACGCACCTGATTTTGAATTTTAACGGTTTTTTCAAAAATTATTAATTATAGCATATTTATATTTTATCATGTGAAAACACATGAAAAACAGTATAAGTGGTGAAAATTTCATCTAAATTGGACAACGATAAGTATGCTTTTGAAAATAAAAACGAATTTTTTTTGACCGTCCATAATATTTTGCACGCTACTGTATGTTTAGCAGAGAAATAAAAATTCATTTCCTTAAGTGTCATATGACAACTTACATCAAAATAAATCGTCGAGCTTAAGCGTATCTTTCTCATGGTTTATATTATGTGTGAAAATATAGCCGGAAATCGATGCTCATTCCTCTTGTTTCTTAGTTGTTGCTGAAACATTTGGCTTGCGCTATTAAAAAGGGAATTTTTTTTTTATCTTTCGTTCATTTTTCTTTATTGTTCTCTTTTTTTTGGTTTTGAAAATTAATGGGAAGCACTGAGAATAAAAGATTGTAATAAATCGTCAATCGGAACTAATGTTTGAATAGAAAAATTATGCTCAATTAATCAATTGGATGATGTAAGTTAACATTCTAGAAAGTAGGTTTTAGTCTAGCAGTTTTGAACTCCTGGCTGCATCTATAACAATATCTATTCTTGTTTACTTTGAAGCTAATCTATCAAATCATTGCGATGAAGCACATCGGACTGTTGCATACATTCAATGTATTTTAAAACAAGCAAAGAAAAAGTTTTTGTATATCTTAATTTATAAGAACAATAATCTCATTTAAATATTGTTTCAAATTATAAAAATAAACATCAAAACTTTCCCTAAAACGAGCATTTTATTTCATTTTCGACCAAAACTTTTCCTTTCACAAACAATAGAAAACAATTTTTCATTGTTGTGGAATCAAAAAAATTTGTTCTTTTCATTTTAAATCAAAAAAACTTCAAAAAATAATTCTTCATATTGTTTCAAACAAATGAAAAATCCTTTCTTCATTCCCACGAGTGTACAACTAATAAAAAAAATATTCACACAAAGCATGATATAAAGCACATACAAAAACGAAACAAAACCGCGGGAGCAAATTCAACATGAAAAAGTGAATGTAGAATGGGAAATAATAAAAAAAAGTTTAGGATGAAAGTTTTCAAACCAAACCCCTTCGTTTTTTGCTTCTTGCTTCTTTGTTGCTTTAAATTTTAGCATCATTCTTAAGAGTTATGCCTTAAAAGTTACACCTTGTCTTAGAACACAGTTCATAGTTGTAAAGATTCTATCCCAATCATGTACAAATCTATAAAATAAAGACTGAGTCGACTCTAGAACGTTTTAAACAGATCTCAGAGTTGATCCAAGAACTCAATAAATGATTGTGTGAGCAATGATGAGATAATGAGTGGAATCAGTAAGTAGCAGAAGGAATCGAAGAAAAGAATCAGTTTACGATAAACTTTAAGTGCTGTCTGGCTAAGGATGTCAGTAGAACTGTCTTGTTAACTTCAAAGTGACTTATTGGTCACTTTATTTTTGGGTTTGAAACAGGCCCGTAGCCAAAAGGGTTGTCTTAAGGGGAGACAAGACCCTTCTGGCACGC